TTGGGCTACTACTCCCTAGTCCTCTTCTGTGGCACTTGTCCCATGTTATTTTCTTCAGCTTATCTTTACATTACTCACACTTGCCTGTGGCTCTAGGCAAATAGCCTTGCTTCTTCTGTCACAGAGAGCACAAGGTTCTCTGCTGACCCAGTACTTCATAGACATGTACCTCCTGTCCTCACGTCCTGTCTCCAGGCTCTGGGAAGAATGGCTGTCATCCGTTAAGATTAATCCTTTCATTGGACTTCTTATGATTTCTCCCTGCCTTCTGGGGTATTTTTCCACAATTTCCTTTTTCCTATGCATCCACCTTCACATTTTGTCTTTTTTTATTTTTTCTTTCCTTCAGAAATACATGCTTACATTGTTTACATCCTGAACACACGTACACGGATTTAACTTTCCTCTACATCATACTTTTAGTTTGACCCTCTGTGTTTCCTGTGATGAACAGCTATGTACCATGAAGAAACAGTCTGTAGCCCTTGCCTTCCTTCGTTTACTTTCCGTTGTTTGGGGAAATGCAATCAGGCTTCCACTCTCTCTATTCCACTGAATGTACCATATAAAAGTCATTGGTTCCTTGGTTATCAAAGATAGAGGCCTCTGTAGGCCTCATTTTACTTGACCTAAGACATTTAATTCCAACAGTCACTTCCTTCTTCATAAAATCCTTCTTCATTTCTAGAATGTTACCTTTTCCTGTTTCTAGTCCATTCCTTATTCTTTGTTGCCCCTTTCCCTGTTCCTCACCTAAAATCCGATGCTCGCTGTTTTATCTCTTTTCCAGTGATCTCACACATATGCATGGCTTGAAGTGTGTATATCCAGGTAACTTGAAAATATTAGTCTTTTACCTACATCCTTCTTTTGAGCCCCAGTCCTGTATCATATAATCCTTACGACAATCATACAGAAAAATAATGTCCACATTTGTAGGTGAGGAAATTGAGACCAACAGCCGTAGCCTGTTTTTGATAGAGCCCGAATTTGAACCTCCATCTAAATTCAGATCTTGGGCTCTATAATATGTTATAATCAATCAGCTCAGCTCTATCAGATATGTATATCCCATACTGAATGCCACCTCAGAGAGAGAATATAAAGATCTATACTATATTCTAAGTCTCAGTGAATGACTGTCCTTCTGGTTATCCAAGGTACAATGTGTATAGGAGTTGATATCAACTTCTCTCTAAGTCTCCACTCTGCTGGCTTATCTGGCTCAAGGGAGCATGAACTTATATGCATTCTACCTCTTTAACATAATATGCAGTCTTCCCCTCTTCTCTTCCACTGCTGCCTTCATAGTTGAAAACCTTATCCTATCTGAATTGCCATTATAGTGACAGTCTAACCCAGTGATGGTAAATCTTTTAAAGCTTTCATTGGTACAAACAGCCTCCTGTAGTATACATGCTGTACATTCACTACCACTGGTCTAACCCATCGATTGTCAGATTATCTAAGCTAAAGAATGAGAATTTCTGTCTTTTCCCCTTTGATCTGTTGCAGAAATTTTGTAGTACATTGAAAAATCATCATTAGAAAAAGGAAATTAAAAAGATACGCAAAAATAAGTGCAGTTTTAAATATTAAATCTGGGAGACATAAAATTATTGTCTCAAATTGCAAGAAGTTTTTGAATACTAATTTTTTATGTGTATTCTGTCACAGTTGGGTAACAAACAGTTTATGGATTGGCACTGGTCCACCAACACCATCAAGGAGAACTAGATCATAGTATTTGATGAAATGTCTTCATTCTCTTAGGTTGGAACCAATGGGCCTACATTATTTAAAACTTGGAATTTTGACTTATATCCCATACTGAATGGGTGTATGGCTTGTATGGATTTAAAGAAGTTTTATAAAATTCCCTGTTCCTTTAGGATAATATCTTTCAGTAAGAATAAATCCAGGTAGAACAAAGGTAATAGTGTGTTACATTACAGTTTATCATAAACTCAAAGTTTGCTGCCTTAAGACTCAAAGCAGCACCATTTTTTTTCTAAATAAGCTTAAAGTGCAATCTTCAGGAGCTACTTGTAATAAAAGTAGTATCCCCTAGTTTGATACATTTAACTTGCTATGATAGTGCACACCAAAAAAAGTGTGATTCTAATATGCAATAAAATATAGCAAATGGTTTGATGGGCTCCATTTCTGAAAGATTAAACTTCTACATAACTATTAATCTAATGGGCTCTAAATAATAAAAATTAGTTACTTTGATTTTGGCAGGCACCTAAGCCTTTGTCAGAAGATTGGATGTTAATGACATGCAGACAAGAGGTGGTGCAAAGTCAAACTGTACCTTAAATAGGACATGGATGAAGAATCAAAATCAAAAACAAAGTTCCTACATGAAGCCAGGGCTTTGATTCCCAGGACCAAAAAAGAAAAAAGAAGAAAGTTCTGAGAGATTCAAATTCAGGGGTGGGAATGCTCTATTATTAGACTGAGACACTACCTAGACTTCTTAGAAATGTTAAATAAAAACATAGAGAACACAGACTAGTTTTCTACATCAGGTCCCACACAGAACAAAATGCATGGGCAAATGCTGAAAGAAGCATAATCTTCCCATGTGTGGTTAAAAAAAATCAGAAAAAGCCTCTTAGATATTGTTAAAAAGTAATATAAATTCCACAACTAATTTACAGCACTGTGGCAGGTACTAAAACACTAGCACAGTGGTGGGAGGTGGGGATTCAGATACAGCAATATTTTTTCTGTTAATGAAGTACATAACCCCCAAACACAATTAACTGTCAGACCAACAGACTTTATCACAAGAAGTTGAGACACTATAGGAAGCTTAGAAAATTAAATTCTCAGAAGTAGGATATTATAGCAACTCTTTCATTTTCGAACCTTTCACAGAGGATGAATGGATGGTGGCTTGCTATATCCACACCTACAAAATGATTAAAACTTTTATTCAAAGAAAACTTTTAATATAACATAACTTTAAAGGTTCAGAATGGAGAGGAGGTGGGAAAAGGCATTTGCCCAAAACAGGAATAGTCAAGGTAAAAATGATACGAAAATTTACTTTTAAAAAATAATGAAAAGCTGGGTATGGTGGTGCACACCTGTAATTCTACCACTTGGGAGGCAGAGGCAGGAGGATTGCTGTGAGTTTGAGGCCAGCCTTGAACTCACAAAAAAATGGAAAAAAAGTAATACAGGAAAAGGAAAAACAAAAAGAATATAACTTTCTTTGATTTACATTGTAGCAAGTTAAAACTGAGTTATGCAGTGACTGGTGTTCCCCCAGGTAGTCTGGGATTGAAAGGAGCAATGATGCATCCAGGCAGAGGAACAGAAAAAAACCACCTGGAGGATAGCATGTAAAAACATCCTGTCTTGTTCTTAGAGCGGTGGCAGTCTGGGATGATCAGAGTATAGCTGGGAATCATGGAACAGTGTTAGACCAACATTTCTCAAACTCACATGCACCTAAGTCACCTGAGGGTTTTATAAAATTCATATTTAGGAAGGAACATGGATGTCTGCTTTTCTAATAAATGACATTATGGTGTGAATGTGTCGGGTCAGCATACCACTTTGAGTGACAAAACTGTCAATTTTATCCTAATATTTATCAGTATTTTATATCATGAATTATGAATTGCCACTGTTCTGTTATTTTTTGGGTAGCACAAAATACATGGCATTTCTGTTTAGTTAGATATTAAATGGTTTACTATAGGCTTTGTTCTGGTGATGGTGAAATAATGTGTGTAGCAACTTCATTGTCAGGTACAGAATAATAATTTAAGTACATACTCTCATTTTTTATTTCCCCTGTGCTGGTTATTTGACCCAGGGCTTTGTACACACTAGCTGTCATCTTTTACTGAATTAGTTTGAGTAAGAAGACACAATAAAACAATGAAAAAAGCCCAAAATTTGAAATCAGATTTTTAGACCTGGGCTCCGATACCAGTTTTATGACTAAAATAGCTATATGGCTATGAAAGTAAATTAACCCACTTTTGTTTTTCCATTTTCTCATGTCCAACATATCATAAATGCCACTTTATAGAAATGTGAAGATTAGAAATTATAAGAATAAAGTAGAGAAAGGTTAGTGATGGTTGTAATTTGATAACTTTTGAGATCCCTTACAGGGTAAAGTTTTATAATTTTTAAGTAAAGAACATTGAATAGTCTAATCCTGGTGTATAGATTTGGGATTTTTTTTCTCAGTTATTCTAAGGATATTAGAGGGGTAGTTTATTGTGTTTTGTAAAAGCTTCCACCACTTCCTCACCTCAGAATACTAACACTCATTGTGTAGAGTGTAGTTGTTACAGATGGGACTATGTTGTTCTCTTGAATGCTATGGAGTGTGTAAAATAGAGAGTTTTAGAGTTTTATGTGATAGTTTTATTTTTTCTTGCTCATGGAAATTTGCTATGGTATAGGAACATCCCCTTTCAGGAGAAACAATAGTCCATGTTATTGCTAGGCCTACCAGTTCATTGTGCTCCCTAGGAAGAGGGAACTCAAAGGTGAGACCACAAAGGTCATGGAAGAAAGTTTGCAGGCTTTGTGGCAGGAGTTTGGAGTCCAGGTACCTTAACCCTGAAAGAAGGGCATGGACTATATGGGTGGTCACATCCCTTTGATCCTCCTGACTCCTCACTCTGTGGGGCAGGCCCAGCCAGAGACAGCCTGAAGCAACCCTCTTCAAGCCTCTGGGCAGGAATGTGTTAAGGAAATTAATACGTAATCTCAGCTGTCTCTTTTGGAATTAGCATGTTTATTTAGCTTTTTTGTTTCATGACTGTGGTATACTTTCATTTATGGTTCACTTTTTAATGGATGTTTCAAGAGTGTCATAAAAGCATCTTATTCAGTAGCTCTGAGATGGAAACAAGTCTTAGTGGTTTAAAAATCTTAGATTAAATTTGTTCTTGTAGAAGACATGATATTACATGCTTTTTTCCCCTAACTTTGTGCCTTGTCCTTGTGTTTTCACTTTTTAGATAGACTTCAGCTCCCCAGGAATATGATTGAAAACAGTATGTTTGAGGAAGAACCAGATGTGGTGGATTTAGCCAAAGAGCCTTGTTTACATCCCTTAGAGCCTGATGAAGTGGAATATGAGCCCCGGGGCTCCCGACTGCTGGTGCGAGGTCTTGGTGAACATGAGATGGACGAGGATGAAGAAGATTATGAGTCATCTGCAAAGCTGCTGGGCATGTCCTTTATGAACAGAAGCTCCGGCCTTCGGAACAGTGCCGCTGGCTACAGGCAGAATGCAGAGGGGTCTTGTTCAGTACCCTCTGCAAGGACCTTGGCGGTCTGTGCTTTTGTCATTGTGGCTGCTGTTTCCGTCATCGTAGTGATTTATGTACTGCCCAGATGTACCTTTACCAAAGAAGGCTGCCATAAAAAGAACCAATCAATGAGACTAATTCAGCCCCTTGCAACGAATGGGAAGTTATTTCCATGGGCACAAGTGAGGCTGCCCACTGCCGTTATGCCACAGCGCTATGAACTGGACCTACACCCAAACTTAACTTCAATGACGTTCCGGGGTTCTGTGACAATTTCAGTTCAGGCTCTTCAGGCCACGTGGAATATCATTCTTCACAGCACAGGTCATAATATTTCGAGAGTGACCTTCATGTCAGCAGTTTCAAGCCAAGAAAAACAAGTCGAAATCCTGGAATATCCATATCATGAACAGATTGCCATTGTTGCCCCAGAAGCCCTCCTAGAAGGGCACAATTATACCTTGAAGATAGAATATTCAGCAAATATATCTAGTTCTTACTATGGGTTTTATGGCACCACTTACAAAGATGAAAGTAATGAGAAAAAGTATGTAGCCTCCTTGAATGATTCTGGTTCTTTGCTTTTTGATAACTTCTGCAGTAGGGATCCTTTTGCCCAGGGACAGTAACAGTATTTTTTTAAACTTAGGAAATTATGACCAAAATATAATGGTGGAAGTATGTCCTGTTTCTCTTAGCCAAGCTCTGTCCATGTACCTTGGTGGGATGGGCTAGGAATGTCCTGGTAGAGGGGGATGGATAAAGATTTTTATCAATTATATTCTCGCAAAAGCTGAAGTTATCTCGAGCTTTTCATATTTTATAGGATAAATCTCATTTTCTATGACTATGAATGGGAAGCAGAAAAAATATGAAATGACTAGAAAAATACACTTATTTTTCTAATGTGCAGAACTTTAGGAGCTGTTTAATGAGATAAAGAAGGCAGGAAGTCTAATATGCTTACATACATGATATTCATTATCCTTCATCTATACTGACTTTTTAAAAAATGCCTCTCTCACTGCTGGACTTCTGATGGAAAGGTAAAATTAAACAGAAGTATTCAGCTCCTTATTTGGACCATGTATTTTGCACTTTAATCTCAGTATTCTTAGCATATAGCTGGAATATCTGAAAAAATGTCAAGTATACTGCATATAGATTATTCATAAGTAGAGATGATAAGTAAGTCAGTTCTCTTATGTTCACAAAGTCGTTGTTACATCTGCTGTATGTAATTGGAGCATTCTTTCTTACTACCCTGTCAATCAGGGTGTGAATTACTGCTTCTGGTCATTTAGCTAATGTATGTTGATGTATGATGAGAAATAGAGGTGAATATTTTATGTCTATCTTAAAGAAATTGATCTTTCTTAAATGGGCAGAGGGACAAAGCAAGTACTATAGTTTTATTCAGATAGTTTTTACTCTTTTACATAAATCTTTTCAAGTATTCTTGCATGGTGTCTGGCATTGAACACAAATTTGGAAATCCATTGGCAATTTAGGAGTTCTTGGCTTTAGTTCTCTTTCGGTAATCTCCATCATCCCTAGGAAATATAGGACATACATAAAACAGTGACTTAGTATGAAAACAGACCTTTGGAACAAGCCCCCTAACTATCTCATTTGCTCAAATGATTGCCCAGAATCCATGGGCCTCTTACTATGTAAAGGGAAGGAGAAATGTTGTGTAACAGAGTAAATTGACTTTTAGTATGAACACTTGTTGACTATTGCCATGGTTTGGATTGAGTTGTGGAATATGCTAGAAAACAGAATATGATTCCTTAAAATTAAGAAAACAGAACTAAAAATAGTATTGTAAAGTCTTAAAAGTTTATGAAACTCCCATTATACACAAATTGTAAGTTCCTTAACTTACCTGTTAGAATGAAACAAAAGCACGTTATTATGTATCTTGATAGAAAAGTTTAGATTGTTTAAACCTTTCAGGATGTCTGAAAACTATAAGCAATTTTAAGAAATGTGTACTCTTACAATTTCTGCCTGCCACCCCTATTTTCTACATGATTGCCAACTTACTCGTATTTCTGTATTTGTCTCTATAAATATAGACAGTCATGTTAGCCTTTAGCTTACAACCTTCAGTACTTCCTCGTTTCTATCAAGGTGTAGTTCAAGACCTTTCATTATTTGGCTCTTGTTCTTTCTTACAACCCTCACTGCCATGTTGAACGTGGTGTACTGTTCCCTAAAATCCAATGATAATGCAATAATGGCCAGAATTTACAGAAAACTTTGTGTTAGAAGTGTTCCAAGCATTTCCTGTGTTTTAGTCTTTAATCCTGTCCAGCCCACTAAGAAGTAGTGTGTCCATTGTATAGTTGAGGAAACAAAAGTGCCTCTGCGATCTTATGGCTAGCAGATAGCAGACAGGGAACTCAAAGCCATTTTAACTACACAGGCCACATTCTTTACCATCATGATGTACTGCTTCTCTATTTCACGCTCCTTTTCCTTTTTTATTAGCATATATTTCCAGTACATAATGTTTACATTCCTTCTGGGGAGTTGGTACCTGTACATAACACAGATAATTCCTCTTTTCATCCTCTTTCCCTTCCCTCTCTCTCCCTTCTCTCCATCTGTTCTTGATTCCCTTCCTATTTGAGAAACATCTATCTTCCTACTTCCTATTACTGTTTTCTTTTTTGCTCTTTATATTTTGGGTTTCTCATATGAGAAAATATACAATAATAAAGCTTGTATGTCTGATTCGTTTTACTTTGTTATGTTCTCAGGTGGATCCACTTTCCTGTGAATGACTCTACATTGTTATTTTGTTATCCCTAGTATTTGTAGTTCTCTTACTTGACCCACAGCCGAGTTGCAGTTGTTTTAGCACTGCTGGACAAAGCCGTGGAATTTTTTTTTTAAAAGAGGGAGAAAGGGCTGGGAATATAGCTCAGTGGTACAAGCGCCTCCCTGGCAAGCACAAGGTCCTGAGTTTGATCCCTGGTACTGCAAAAAAAAAAATAAATAAAAATAAAAAATAAAGAGGAAAAGAAACAATAAAAATGATACAGAATTCAAATCAAGATATAGAAAATTAACAGTGGTTGTTACATTGCATACTGTTATCTTCAGAGTAGTTGAAGATACCAGATATAGGCATGCAAAATTGATCAGACAGTATAAATACTAACTGTTCCTTTCAGTGAACTAATAGAAATTAGTAATACAATTATCTTAAGTATCTTTGTGTGTGTGTGTGTGTGTGTGTATATAATTTTTAAAGCTGTGGAATTTTAACTAGTATTTCTAAAAGGAAATAAAGTTGGCAATTAAAGAGTAAGCTTCAGAGTATTCTCCTATATAGGATAGTTGTAAAGTATCACTAAGAAGTACCCTTTTCAAAGAGACTTTTGTGTACGATTATTAATTCCAGGTATACAGAATTATTGCATCTCTTTTAGCAATAATGTTTTATTTGTCTTAAAATATTATGAGCTAGTTTTTAATCCATAATGAAGCTTTTTTATGTAAAGTATAGGTATATTATCAAATTTACTCCCTGGCTGCTATTCCCTTGTGTTAAATATGTAAGAATACTAAGGGCCAGGTAAAGAAATGGAATATTAGAAATATAACATGTCTAAATTGTTTCATGTATGGTGATTGCTACCTTTATTGTAGTCTACCCAATAGAAACAGGTATTAGGGCATGTCCTTACCTGGAAAAAAGAGTACAGTGATTTTAAGTATGAAAGAGTTGTGGTTATGTAGTGTTTGTAATAAACATCTCTGTAGGGCTTTACATTATACAAGTGGTTTTTATCATGAACAAAAAGCCTGGGTATTTGGTAGGGGAGCCTTTCTAAATCACAATAATAAATAAGGAAGTTGAGATCTAGGTTACTGATTTGCCCCAAATCATAGGGCTGGTAAATTTTAGAGTGTGGGTCTTCAGACTCCAAATTCCAGAAATTTTCTTTTCTACTTATCTTCTGACAGTGGAAACTTAGCCCTAAGCAAGAGCAGCTCCTGTGGAATGATTGTATCTGTGACGGATTGCCTGGTACCAGAAATTTATACAACTGTGGCCATATCTGGACAATTTGCCAAATGGAAATCTGCTGTATTCCTCTACTTACTTGAAAATCTGTACTTTCCCTATTTCTTTCATACTTTTTCCTTAGTCTGTTATTAAGAACCTTTGCATGTGTTCAGATCTTAACAGTTGGTGCTGTATTATGTCAGAAAGGAAAGTTTTAACTCATCATTAAAAAGAGTACTGGTTTAGGTGATGGGTGACCTATACTTTTTAGTACTCGTGAAAGTGCAGCATGTGAATTTGAAGTTTAGTGTTATGAAGCCAGAGTGTGTACAGATAATTAGTGGGACCCTTGCTGGTCTTCCATAAGAAATCTGTTAAGACCTCTGTGGCCAGCTGCAGCTTACCTTTATGGCTTCTTTCCCAGCCATACTTAGCAGCTGCCCCCTTTTCTGGACATGACCTGCTTGCTCTCTTTCCTCATGCTGCCCATTCTGAGTACATTGTTCCTTTCTCTACCTTCTCAAATATTCCTCACTTTTTAAGGCCCTCTTCAGACTTTGTACACATTTTCTAACTGAGTTTGACCTCTAATCAGAATTTGTTCCATACCCTTTTTGTCTACTGCTTTGTTTTCACTGTTAGAACAGGATTTGCATTCTGATGTAAGTTTCTGTGCATAAGTTTCTGCCCTCCATTTCTTGTGAGTCTTTTAATGACTAGGATTATACCGTGTTTATCTTATGTAGTAGGTGATCAATAACTATTGGATTGAATTTGTATCTGTTTTAGGTACTTTGCAGCAACTCAGTTTGAACCTCTGGCAGCAAGATCTGCTTTTCCTTGTTTTGATGAACCAGCATTTAAAGCCACATTTATCGTCAGGATCATAAGGGAGGAGCAGTACACTGCTTTATCAAATATGCCTAAGGTACCATTCCATTTTTTTGAATGTAAAATCTTTGAGCCAGGCTAATAGTGAGAATGATTAGAGTCATACACATTAATAGTACTTAAGTAGAAACTCAAATACAGGTATTTGTTGGGATCAGTTGGGAAGTCAGCCTGTGGAGCCTCCAGAAAAAGAGAAAGACAGTTGGACTTGGAATGTATGGGTAGAAAGTGTGTCCTATGTATGAAATTTGTGCATATATTAATACTGTGAACTAGTATAAGATGAAATTGACAATTTCTTAAAATACATTTGCTGATCTACACAGTGTTACTTGATAGTGTGGAACGTTGATTGTTCTTGGTGTGTTACATATAAATTAAAAATTGATGTTGTAGTAATTTGGAGGTTGATGTCATGAACAGGAGCCTCGTGAGTGTTAGTTCTGAGTAGGAGGCAGTGGGCATGAATCCAAGAAGGAATTTCCTTGGTAACCAGAACCTAGGGTGTCTTTTCGTTGCTTCATAGATCTTAAGAAGCTTCCTGGAATCTCATGGCTAGGGCAGAAGAGAGCCATACACAGCAGGCTGTGGAGTCCACTCCTGTAGGCAGCAGAAGGCAGAATGATCTGGCTCTATGTGGAATGGCATTCCAATAGCTCCACTTTTGGCCATACTCTTTAATCTTTTGCAACCAGATGGATGTCTGTTTGCCTGGTAGCCCCAAACAGAACTTAAGTAATGGTTGGGAAATCCTACGTGTGTTTTGCATGCCTTTATTTTGTGTCTGCTACAGACTTCTCTGGTGATTTATGATCTTTGATTCCACTAAGCCTTCTTGGGCTCCTCAACATGGTACTCTGTGAATCCCTTTCACATCACTTGGAGAAGTAGCAGAGCTGTAACTGCTTCTTTTGTGGATATATTTGTAGCAGTAAAGTAGAGTGATCCCTAGGTCATGGGAAAGGATTTAGGTTTTTAGTGGAATTAAAGGGGAACAATGGAACCAATACTTACCAAATGGAACCAGTACAGTACCACTGTACTTAGTGTGTCCTCTTGATGAAGGGTGGTGAAACAGACTGAGACCAAGTGCCGTGCTCTCTCTAGAAACTTTGGCTGAAGGATTATAATATGCCAGCATCTTTGCTCTCTCAGTGTATTTGTTACTGTCATTTATTCCTACAGTTACAGCACTATCATGTTTTCTCTTTCCCCGTAGAAGTCATCAGTCCCTATGGAAGATGGACTTTTTCAGGATGAGTTTTCTGAGAGTGTGAAGATGAGCACTTACCTGGTTGCTTTCATTATAGGCGAGATGAAGAACCTGAGTCAGGATGTAAATGGAACCCTGGTATGTTGATGTGGAAATTTTCCAAAAAGCTGTCTCAGGGGAGGTTCAGAGAAATTCTTATACATTTCTGCCTCATGAAGAAAAATAAGCTTTTTAATCGCACTCTGACAATTTATACCAGAAATGCTCTTTTACTTATTCTTAGCTTAATTCTTGAAAGCTAATTTTCAAGTTTGTTATTTTATAAGAGAATTCTAGTAAGACAACATATATAGATATATCTAAAGTTTCTAAAAAATGTACTGAACAGTATGACAGTCATTAACCTTATGTAATTATTTAGACTTAAATTAATCAAAATTAAATAAAACTTATAATTCACTTCCTCAGTCTCACTAGCCACGTGTCAAGTGCTGTGGTAATGTTCATGACGCCGGTGGTTGCCGTGTTGGGTAGGCTGTAAAAGTTAGATTCCTCCCTACCCTTTTAAAGCATTTTCTAGAGGCTGGGATGTAGTTCAAGGGCAGAACATGTACTTCGTTTGTGCAAGGATGTGGGTACAAGCGCTAGCATCAGAAACAAACAGCAAAACCCCCAGAAAGTCCTGGCTGAGTTTATTCATAGAGAATGAGTAAGATTGCTTAACTTAAGGTTCTGGTTTATCTGCATTTTGCAAAATAGATCCTTTATTCTCATAAGGGTTCTCTGTTTTTTTCTTCATCCTCTTAGGATTATTTAATTAAATTTTATACTTTAGTGGTAGAGAATTAATAAACCTACTATTTCTTATACTGATAATATAGCAGAAAAGACTTTTGAAAGACCCTTTTCCCCCCTGCCTTTTCCTTCAGTCCACCCATCCTTCTCTTTCATTACTGTGTTGGCTTCTTGCTACCTATAGAGTTACATTCAAACTCATTGCGATATCTAAATCTTCCCTTATAAATGCAGCTATATTTTCATTTGCTCCAAAGTGAATTCTTCTAGCTAGCCAACCTGAATTATTCATTACATATATGCCACATTCTTATATTCCTCTTTCTCTGTCACTGTCTCTGTGTCTGTGTGTCTAAAAAGAGAGGGAGAGATTGAGAAGTTTCAGGTGACTTCTTTCTCCCTTTTTATTTACTCATATTAGGAAGCAGCATGGTTAAACATAGGCCTGGAGTCTTCCTGGGCTGGAGTCCCTCCTCCATATCTTAGCAGCTCTGAACCCTTAGGAAGACTGTATTTTAATCTTCTTTATACCCTACCTTCCACAGCTCTAATATTACACACACACGTACACACACACACACGAAAACCCCCATAACATGAACATGCATATTATATATACATATATAGAGTGCATACTTCCTTTGTCTCATATATAAATATGTTGTGAAATTCTTTGCATGTCAGTAGATATAAATAATCTAACCTTTACTGCTACCCAGTAGTGATGTGTTTTGAAAAAATTAACATAAACAGTAATTTTATTAGTTTCCTGCTTTTTTATTAGAAACTGAGGAACATATCATGCATGGAATTACACTTCATGCTTGCAGCTGTCCTAGGCACTCATTTGTAAACATTTTTTCATTTTATAAACTGAATGAGGGGAGGACTTAGCCCCATCTTGCTGAGGAGGAAACAGTGTCTCAGGTAAAAAGAGAAAGCCAGTGAACTAAGACTGCATAGCGAGTAAGTGACAGTGAAAATTTCACAGCAGCTTCTTGGTACTTTGGTAAGCGCCAAATGTTATAAATAACTTCAGTAGATACAGTGACTAGAAATTAAAAACTTCGAATTTTTTTATGCTAAAAGGAGTTTTGTTATGTTAAAATGTAGTGATCTCTAAGATGACTTCTATTTTGTGATATTTGACAATAGATGTATTCAACAAGATCTAAAAGGGGCTTTACTTAGTCATGTCATTCTTACCAAACAACTAAAAATGTCAGCGTTGACTGTAGTGTGTCCCGCTCAGTAATAGAAACTGCTTTACAGCTGGAAGTGTAGCTCTGTGGTAGAGTGCTTACCTAGTATCCTGGAAATACGAACCAAGAGTAATAATAATGAGAAGGGGGAACGGGGAACAAGAGGAGAAAGCGAGCACCCGCTCCCCAGTACGACTGTAAAGTGCATGTGCTGCAAGCATGTACTGATAAAAGAGCATGTCAAAGGCTTCAACAGAAAGGAACATTTATTTTTATTCTTTTCTCCTTATTTCTTGAACCTCTCTTTGCTTCCAGGACTGTCTGAATTAGCTAGAAAATTCTAGGCCACATGTGAAATACACTGCTTTACTTACTTGTCTTGAGGTCTCTGTTTTGTTTTTTGCCACTATATGCTTTCCCTTTTGTCATAGACAGTCCTACTTGGTAGAATCAAAATTCATCATTAGTTCCTATCTGACATTCAACATTTAAGTAGAACCTTCAACAGTATTATCTGTGTGGTTATGATTCTCATTTATTCACATTTAATCAGGGCTGTGACATTAAAATTTCCACTGAAAACATTTCTACCTCAAGTATCTTTTTACCAGCCTGAGACCTTGTACAGTTTATATTATTCTGCTGTAGTCTACCTAGTTAGTTATTCTACATAGACCTGATACTGTTTGTTTGTTTTAGGAGCATACAGTTTTCTGTGACCAGTTGCCTGTTTTGGAAAGCCAGTGTTTTTCAGAAAATTTAGTATTGAGACTTCTGATAGTTTCTCTCTTTATACATCTTATAAGCCATAGTTTTCTTTTTCTTTTTCTTTGTGTGGAGCAAATGAGACTTGGTTTTGTTTTTGCTTCTGTTAGTTTTGTTCTTATTAATGTAAGGAAAAGATAACTGAAACCTAACAAATCTGTTGTTCCAGAATCTAAGAATCTTCTTTCTCAGAGCTGATCAGCATCTTTATACAATATTTGTGTTTTTAGAATCAACCATAAGATCCTTGTAAGAGATCTGCCAAGAAAAGTTTTACATTGTAAATCTTAAGGCCAGCTGAATTCCATTTCACAGTGTTTTGTTTGTTTGTTGTTTGGGTTTTGGTTGGGAATTAAGCCTAGCCTTAGGCGTGCTAAGCATGGGCTCTACCACTGAGCTACATCCCTGGCCGCCAGTAGTGTTTATAGTGTTCTCATCAAGCCCAGACTGCTGTTCAAGACGTCCTTGGCTGAGATAGATTGTGCTCTTTACATTTTACTGCTTCTGTCGTTCTTAGAATGTTAATGAAGATTTCTCTCTACTAAAAACTCATAAAACATGTTCTTCTAAGAGAAAGAAAAAGAGGAAAGGAAGAGTAAATACCAAACTGCCTTTTTCTTCTAGCCATTCTATTCCAGAAATGGGGATAAGTACATTTTTGGGTCAGATTTAAATTGTGCTTATAGTTACATGTACTTAACTTACGTATTTATGCCACAAAAGAAAGAATAGCCTTTTAAATAATGTAGATAATTCTGCCTGCTTTCCTGCTTTAGCAAATGCCCTGGAATGAATGGTCAGTTGAAGACATGAATCTTTTGTTTCCTTGGTTAGTTTTAGTTTCATCTGTCACTCAGTGTGTCTCACTGTATATGTATGTATGTATGTGTGTGTATATATATATGATAACATGGTCCATAGAAACAAGCCAACAACTAAAGAATTGAATATATAAATAAGTATTCTCAGCACTGGGAGAAAACCTGGCTTTCCATGCTTAATGAGAATATGTTGATCTCTAATCAGTTTTCTGTAATACAGTTTCAAGAAATGTCCACTATATGCCTTATACGTTCTCTTTAGAACTAAGTCTACTGTAAGATGTGACTTCTCTGGGTTTAGATGCTAGGCACTAGGATGGGTGCTCAAAGGATAAAACTTTCTGTCCTACAAATAATTCAGTCTTCATAGCTCATAAGTAAGGATAAGCAACGGCAGGTAATGAAATAGGAAGAATGTCATAAAATTAAATGGGTAAGTGTTTATAAATTGCTATAAGATGGCCTAAACTAGTTTATTTGGAAAGTTATGAGAGCTTGAAAAAAAAGGGAATCAATAAGGGTTTTTTCTTTTGTTTGCTTCGTTTTTTTAGGGATGTTGTATTCATGGAAGGTACTTGCTAAACTCTATGGAGACTAAAATAACTATCATAGTTTCTTCCCTGAAAAATCTCAGAAATCTGTGCATTTCTCAGATATGCTCGTCCTGAGTTATGGCATTTTAATTGTAACATTCCTTACATCCTGTATAATGTTCCCTTTAGATTTCTATATATGCCATACCAGAAAAGATTGGTCAAGTTCACCATGCCTTGGAAACAACAGTGAAGCTTCTTGAGTTTTATCAAAACTACTTTGAAATTCAATATCCTCTTAAAAAATTGGGTAAGAATCACATTTCCTCTAATTTTTATTACAGTTATTACTGAGATACGTTTTGCAAATGTTTTTTTAAAAAGAACTTTGCCTGTTATTTTTTAAAGAAGAAATATTGTTAATGTGTTAAAAATTGTTAAAATTGTTTACATTCCATGAATGTATCTGAACTTGCAGCTTAAAACACTTGGAAGTTTTTAGGCCTGTCACAGTGGTACTGTGTAAATGAGAGCTTGCTGAGAGCTTAGTCTGGAGTTTGACAAACCTCAGGAAAATCTTAATTTAAAAAATAAATACTGCATAATGGGAGTTCAGGAAAGCAAGAATGTTTCAGTATTACTCAGTATGGATTGTCCCTGAATTTCATCCTCCTCATCTAGGAAGTTAATTTGTTGGAGGGAATTAGCCACTGTTTCTCTTTGCTGCCGGACAATGGAACAGTGACTCAAATGGTGTGGTCAGGTATTCCACCTCAGATGGCTGAGGAAGGAGCCTGCAGAACTAGAGTAAGGACGACCGTTCCTTGCAGAGTATGAAAACAATTCACAACCTTCACAGTGGTAAACTCCCGGGTAAAATATTTTGGTTTAATGAGGGCCCACTTTACATACATGAAAGTTGATCACTTCTTTCCTGTTGGGTACAGATTTGGTGGCCATTCCTGACTTTGAAGCAGGAGCAATGGAAAATTGGGGCTTAATTACCTTCCGTGAAGAGACCCTTCTGTATGACAATAACACTTCTTCAGTGGCGGATAGAAAACTGGTTACTAAAATCATCGCTCATGAGCTGGCTCACCAGGTGCCTAACAAGCAGTGCTGTTACATCCCGTACCTGTTGTCTACTTCATGTCCTCCCATTTCAGAATACAAATACACATTACTAATTATTCTACTTTTCTTTTAGTACTGACTTCTTTAATACTAAAAAGTTCCTTTTTTAACACAAATGTAAATTTCCAGATGACAATGCTGTCTGTCTGTGTAGGACTAAAGCATTTTTACATTATTTCACTTCATAACTGCTCTAAGGTAGGTGATAATCCCATTTTACAGGTCCAGAAACTGAGACTTGTCTTAAATGATTTGTCCAAAGTCACACAGCTATGAAGAAGTAACACTGGCCTGAAGTGTGACTGTTTCTTCTTTTTCCCTCCTCATAATATAAATCTGCTTTCTCTCTGACAAATACCAACAGCTTAATGTAATTTTGTAGGAAAGAATCTTTTTCCCTAAGTTGTAATCTCTTCTGACAACTCTTGAACTGTAGTTGTCAAGTCTGGCTTTATTTTTTTATTTTTTGCTGCAACTCCCCAATTATCTATTAAGTGGGAGAGGCAGATTCTGAGTAAAAGGTTAGGGTATTATTTGTATAACATGGAGAAAAAGAAAGGAAATTGCATCCAGATGTATCATCCTCTCTTGTCTCTGTTGGGCCCAGTATGGGAGGTGCTTGTCGGTGTTGGGTGCAGTTTGTGGTGTCATGGAGTGGCATTATGTGAAAGAAGAACAGGAAGTGGTTTGGTCAGTTTACCCGCTACCTCCAGTACAATATCTGTACGGCTTTGTAGACTTGTGAAGACTTCTTGGCAAGCTGAAGCGTATGTTTACTGTTATGAATGGTCCATAGAGATAAATTGTGTCTTGTGGGATCTCTGTTATGTGTGCAGCCACCCATCACTACTTGGGGAGTCTTTCTTTGTTATTTCTTCTTTAGGACTTACAAACCATCTTTATGTGAAACAGGTTTTAAAATAATGTCTTAGAAAAATAGCCAGGCATGGTGGCACATGCCTGTAATCCCAGCACTCAGGAAGCTGAGGCAGGAGGATCATTGTGAGTTCAAGACCAGCCTGGGCTACATAGTGAGCTCAAGGCCAGCCTGAACTGCATAGTGAGACCCTGTCTCAAAAAAAAAAAAAGAAAGAAAGAAAAGTATACTATTATACTTCTAAAAGTATTTTATATTAGTATCTAGTAACCCTGCCTTTTGCTATTACTTTGAGATCAACCCTAGACCACAGTGACTAAATTGCACTCTCTGTGACCACTTTTTATTTGAAGGATTTTCAATACAGTTTCTTTTGGAGAGTCTCCTATTATTTTTCTTTCTTTTTACTGCCTCATAGCAGAAAACACTTGAAGATCTTCTTGCTTGCATTTGTTTATATATATGCTAACTTCCTTTAAAAATGTTGTTTGAATTCTGGTTTGAATCATGCAGACCCTGTCTTCAGTGTGGGAACTGAAGAGAAATATGAAGTACAGGCCCCCTGACTAGGAAAATGTCTTACATGGAAAGTTTCAGCTGTCATGAGTGACATAGATATCATGGAAAGTAACCTTGTAGTTAGTAAGATACTAAAAAGTGAAAGAATTTCATTATCTAAGAAGTCCTTTTATGAGGTAGCAAAAAAAATGCTTTTATTTCATACCATGTTTTTAAAATTTACACATCTGGTAATGAATATATTAATAATCATTCTTGGTTTTTCTCCTTCAATTAAGATAAAATATGAAAATTTCTATTTTACTATTAAAGTAGATTTATATAATTTTTAAAAAGTTCTTAGTTGATTTGACTGTACTTTATTTGGATTGTTATACTAGAACACTTTTAAAATATTTTAATCTGGCTATGGGGAGTTAATCTGACAATTCAGCCAGTTGTTGGAAAATTCTTGAGAATGTTTATATCCTGTTGGTTAACAGTTTGTTTTTGTGGCAGTGGTTTGGTAATCTGGTAACAATGCAATGGTGGAATGATCTATGGCTGAATGAAGGTTTTGCAACGTTCATGGAATATTTCTCTTTGGAAAAAATATTCAAAGAACTCTCCAGTGTAAGTACAGTATTCCTTATCCTACTAGGACTGCTAAGAGGAAAAATAGTCAACTCACATTTGCCATGTATTTTCTATGCCTTTGGGGTAATGAAGATATTTCTAGAAAGCTATAATAAAATTGACCCTTGTTACTGATGTCTGTACCTTTTAAGATTTAACAATGAAAATTAAGCTTTCATTTATTGATTTTGTTAAAAGGTGAAATTATGTAAAATTACGTATTTTTGTCATTAAGATGACTATCTTAAATTGCACTGCTGCATTTTATTTTTAACAGATGTGGTCCTTTCTGTAGCAATTTAGATAAGATTGAAAAGCCTCTTTTTGCAGAACAAAACTTTTTAATCCTGTGTATATAAAAAGAAAAATGTTAAAACATTTTGTAGTAGTGCTAGCTCTCTTTTATCATTGTGGGCATTCTTACAACGGTGACATATAGGTTGATGCAAACAAATAATCTGACATAAACCGTCTTTTGTGTCCTTTTTCAAATGCTTAGAATACTATTCCATTACAGACAGGCATAATAGTATTGTCACTATGTTACTAGATTCTGTGAAGACATTTCCTATACTTAGTGATATTCAGGTATACTATGTCATTGTGAAAGGCTTTTAGCAAAGTAATTCAGGCTGTGAGTGGGAAAACATGAATATTCCTTTCAGCCCTAATTCAGTGACTGTTACACTTCCTGGGGACATGATTCGAGACTGCTTTAGAACAGAACTATTCTTGGAGCTTTCAGTTGGAAATTTTTATATAGGGTTTCTTTAAAGATTCAAATAATAGAAGGAATTAAATTTTAGCTGGAATGCTAAGCAAAGTATTCAAAATCTGTATGTGCTACTTAATTAAGCAGTGAGATACACAGTTTCACCACTTGGTGGTGCCCAGAATGTTTGGAAACCCCTAATATATAGTCTAGGGAAGCTCATCTGCCAAGATCTCACAGTTCTTTCTGTTACAAAGTTTTATTTAAAATGAACCTCAATTAAGAGAAATGTTAAAGAAGTGTTACTTTAAGTTAAAGTAAAATACGGGCTATATGTGAGAAATCAGTTTAAGGCCTTGGATTTTTTTTTCTTTTTTAAATTTCATATTTTATTTTAAAATATTTTAACCTTTTGAAAATACTCATCTTGAATGTCCATACTTTGCATTTTTTAGTAATAAATTCTTAATTCATTTTTATGCTCTTGCTTAGAAAATGCTGATTTTCATGTGTCTAGATTATAATTAAATTTAGGGAATATGTGTGGAAGTCATGGTCTTTCTGTACTTTCAGAAGTTTTTATTCTGAAGTTCAGTTAATTAAGCTGTTTTTTTTTTTCCAGAATGATTTTAAATAGTAATTAGTATGATTTATATAAATAATTATTGTAGTCACTTTTATCTTTGATATTGTTCATATCCTAATCTCTTTAATTTTTTGCTAGTATGAAGATTTCTTAGATGCTCGATTTAAAACCATGAAGAAAGATGCTTTAAATTCATCTCATCCAATATTATCATCTGTTCAGTCTTCAGAACAAATTGAAGAAATGTTTGATTCCCTTTCCTATTTTAAGGTACTGCTGTACACAAAAAAGTACCTGTAGTAGGCTTCAAATTAATTTTGTATATCTATGATTTAGATTATTTTAAAGATTACCTAAGTATTATTTTCAGGTGTCCTGTTGAATTTTTAAATGTTTAAATTTTAAATATTTAGATCTATTTAAATTTTGAACTTAGTTGTTTGTATGTTTTTCTTTCCTTCTGTATTTCAGGCGGTCACCAAGATCTTATAGCAGTGACTCTGTTACAGTTGGTTTACTCCACACATCTTAAAGTCGCAAGGAAGGTTCTAAGCAAACTCTTAGTGGTTTTACTCAGAGTTGAGGTGTATTCTAAAGTTAGGGTTCCCAAAACAAGCAGAAAGAGATTCTGAGAATCGAAGATTGGAGTGCTGGTTCAGAAACACAAACTCCAGGTTTGGGGATGAAGAAAAAGGAAAATTGGAAACATTATCGTTCATATTTGCAGTGGTGGAGCGATGAGTGTGATGGCCCATTTGCCTCCTTATTCTGACTGTCAGATTAATTGATTAGTAAATTTCTCCACTAGATATAGAAGATAATACATGAAACTTGTGAGATACAATTCATATGATCATAAAGCTCAAAGTGTAGGTGATGAGCAGCTGTGGAGCACTAAGGGAGGTAATGTGTGCTAAAGTAGTATGGGAATTTCTGCACGACATGCTGAGGAGAGATTCTTTGGAAAATTAAAATGGGTTAAATAGTAAGTATATAGGTAAAGAGGAATGGGAAGAGCGGGCTAGGGCAGGGATAGACTAGAAGGATTTATAAATAAAAAGTCAAGAATACTGATGGGCAAGGAACATTTGTTTAGCAAATAAGTGTCTGGCTGCAGTGGAAGCCACATGTGGAGCAGGGGAAGAAGAGACAGATAGGTGGGGCCCAGTTGTAGAAAGTTCTGAATGCCACAAGGAACCTGGATGTTCTTTCTGTAAGCAGTGGGAAGCTTTAGAAGATTTTCAAGCAGAGCAGTGACTTGATTAAAGTTCTATTTAGGAAAAAATTAAGTTAGTTTCAGTTTATAAAGTGAATGTAAGTGGGAAGAGACAGTCAGGAAATTGATAATGTAGTTCAGTCATGTAATGGTGAAAGTTCGAAATAAGGAGTGGTAGTAAGGGTCGACAGAAAACAGTGGGTATAAAAACACAGAAGAGGTAAGTACACAAAAACGGTGATAGGTAAGATAGGTAAGGAAGATGGCAGCCATTTTTCCAGATTAAAGCTTGACTTGTTTAAAATTAGGAATGGTGAGTAGTCTTCCTTCTATTAGTGGGAGTGTTACAGCATAGAGGAGAAAGTTGGTGAGCTTGGAGAGGTAGGGGCAGTTGGGAACAAGACTGAGTACTTCAATTTATAGAGCAGTTAATAGCTATGAATTTTTAAAAAGAATGGTAGCTATTAATTTTTTCTATGTACTAATAATCTTGATGGCTTAACATTGGTGCACTTTTATCACATGTGAAATTCATTCAAAAACTGCATTAGTGCTTACTAGTAGACACTACTTTAGTATAGTAAGTTTTCCAGTTATTCCCTCAACTAGCATACAGTATAGAAGAGGAAATACAATACAAATTTCTGCTGGAGATGGAGAAATATGATTCCTGTTTCATATTTAGAAAGATTTCACAAAGGAGGTGATCATTTTGAGGTTGGGGATGATAACTTGTGCATGAATTAATATAATACGGCCTTTAGAGTAGCACACCTGGTTGTGAATTATTAGTATGTCATTGTTGCCCTATATGTTTATTGGTTTCAAACACATTTAAACTTGACTCTGCGGGAAGAGAGAGCCTGTTTACTTCAGCAAGGTGGTGTACTAAATTTAGAAAGTAATATACGCCTAGCAGAGAGACTTTTGAGAGCTCTGCTACTTTATTTTGTATGGCAGTGTCCCTTTATAGAGTCAAATGATATTGAAGCATTGGGGATGGGGTGAGAATGCCATAGAAAATTCGGTAGTTTTAATTTAAAGTATATTTATAAATACTGAACATATCATTAGTAACACTTGAAACACTATACTGATCAGACACAAAGTGACTCATGGTGGGATTAGTATATATAGAAATCTAATTCTATTAATTATTTTTCAAATCTCTTAAAATAATGTTAAGATAATTTGAACAGAGTTGATGCCAAGCTGTGTGACATTACCAATATATTATAATGCAGTTGTATATATAAAATTACATGTTTAGAACGATTTTGAATTTTAGATTTTCAGTACTGTCAGGTATAAAATTTCATTATTTTTTCCTTTCTTCTTCTTCTCTCTCTCTGTATCTCTCTGTCTGTCTCTCATATAGGGAGCCTCTCTCTTGTTGATGCTGAAAACTTACCTTAGTGAAGATGTATTTCAACACGCCATTATTCTTTACCTGCATAATCATAGCTATGGGTCCATTCAGAGTGATGATCTGTGGGATAGCTTTAATGAGGTAAGTGACCTGGATACTTTACTCCAGTCCTGAGTTTTCACGGAAGGAGCTCTTCTGTTTATACTTTTATCATACACATAAATGAGTCTAGGACACCAAGGGTAGTTATTTAGTAAATAGCTGGAAGGATCTTAGTATATAAATATTTGTGAATAAGAATACTAAATTTAAAGTGGAAAAAAAATGGAGTACTGTTCCTAATTGTTCAAAACAATGGAGCTACTATTCTGTATCTTAATGATCATTATTGATCTTACTGTATCTTTTGAAATTTTATCTTTTTTCAAAAACGTATTTTCCCACTCTTAGCTTTTTCTACGTTCCATTCTTGGTGCTGTACTGGTGCCTATGACTCTTGTCTTTTGAGTTTAGATTACTCTCTGGTAGATGATATGTCACAAGCTGACTGCCATTAGCTGCATACTGCTCTTAGGTTGCTTTGCTCTTTGGAATTTATTTTATCTCTGGACATTTAGAACATATTTCTTCCTTCTGCACTAACTCAATTTTTGCATCATGATATTGTCCCGTCCAACCGAGTCCTAGCCGTGCCCTCAGGGTTTTCGGCATCAACATTACTGCTTCAGACACCTCAAAGTGCCTTGCTTTTCTCCCCGCCCTGTGGTCTAGAAGTAAGTATGTAAGAGATGTGAGAAATACAAGGTTAATGTCACAGTGAGTTGAGAAAGAATTGCTCCGTTCTTTTGTGCTTTAAATAAATGGACATACAGTGACTGTGATAAGGCCTGCCATAATGGTATAATGTTATGAATTTAGGCACGTGACTTTTTTCAAATGTATGTGTAATCATTGATAACAAGATACCTTGGGGAGAATGGGCTTTAAAGGTCTATAAGCTTCTGCCTAGACTCTAGCTTTTGAAGATAACCTGTACTCCCACAGGATTAAGTCTTTAAAGACAGATAGGTGCAAGGCAGAGAATAGAAGAACAAAGAGAAAACTGGACTCAGTTGATTCACAGTGTTAGGTAGCAGTCCCATTCTAGAGTACGTTTTAGTCATATCTTCTAATTGGTAGTATTGTGACCTGAAAGAGTGCTTGTACCTTCTTAGGGGTTTTAATCTTAATGACTTTAAGGATGTTAATTTTTTTTTGTTTTTTTTTTAAGACACAGTCTCACTTTATATTTCAGGTTGGCCCTGAACTCATTAGGTAGTACAGGCTGACCTCAAACTCATGGTAATCTATGTGCTGGGCTTACAGGCATGCGCCACCACACCCAGCTTCAAGGATGTTATTCATCTTAGTGAACTGTAGGTTGATATCATATGTGCTGCTTTTCAGTGTAATCTGTCTTTCACACCCTTTGTTATCACTCAGTTCTGTTCCAGGTTATTTTTCATTTAGTGAGTTTTTCTCTTAATTCAGCATTAATACCTTTTTAATACTAACATTAAATGCAATCTTTATAAAATGAGCTAGGGAAAAGATATGGATGAATTAAACTAAAAATTTTAAGTTAATTTTTACCTTTAAGCAAAAATATTTATTCTTGTTTTGTAGGTTACGAACAAAACGCTAGATGTAAAGAAAATGATGAAAACCTGGACCCTGCAAAAAGGATTTCCTTTAGTAACTGTTCACAGGAAAGGAATGGAACTTTTTATAAAACAAGAGAGATTTTTCTTAAGTATGAAACCTGAAATCCAGCCTTCAGATGCAAGGTACATATACTGTACCTTCATTCCATGCTGTCTGTTTTGTACCTTCAGGTTGAAGTATTTTTAAATGTTTTATAATCATAAGTTCTTACAAAACCTAATAATATTATCTCTGTTGCGGAGTAGCTTTAAAAATTTCATCTTTATACTGAAATATTAGAGAGCTAATCTTACAATACTTTCTTTTTACAGCTACCTGTGGCATATTCCAATATCTTATGTCACTGATGGAAAAAATTATTCAGAATACCGAGCAGTATCATTACTGGACAAGAAATCAGGTTTGACTATAATTAATACCTTTCTGATAAGACATTGCAAACAGCATCATTTTTTAAATAAGATACAGCAAATAAGATATTACACATTCCATTGGTGTACTCTTTGAGCTGGTTTTGTAAAATGAGATTGATTCTGAGTATGTAGAAGGGCTTTTAGTTATAAGAAATATATACAAAAAGTTGCAAGGAATGTGCTGGCAGTCCTGGTAGAAAATAGCAGATGTTTTATTTGTATGCCTTGGAGAAATATTTCATCTTACAAAATTCAGAGTAATAGAAGAGTTTCTTAAAAAGTGTTACCTGCAGTCTACCTTCTAGGGTTGGGCTGTTGCAACTGCATCTTTACAAGCCTCCTAGATGATTTATGTGCATAATAAAGGTCAATTCAAGGCCCAGATTTAGAATAATTATAATATGTCCTGCAGACAGAACATGCATTTTTTAGTAATCAGAAAGTAGGACAAGAAGCTGTCATAGCAAGAAAGAGGAAGATAATAAAGCAGAGGGAACAGGATGAGTATCCCTCATCTGAAAATACAAAATCCGAAATATTTTGAGCTCCATAACATTCAAAATGTTTCAGATTTTGGAGCATTTTAAGATTTCAAAATTAGCCATATCCAGTAAAATCTATGGAAATACTTCAAAATCTTTAAAAAAAAAAAAAAAAAATCTCAGACACTTCTGGTCTCAAGCATTTCAGAGAAGACAGTCTGTATACAGTGACCTACAAGTAGTCTATAAAAAGCAATTGAAGTGTAGCTTGTGACCATCTGTTGAATACCACTGTATATCTTCCTAATCTGTGCCCTAAAATAACATAAGGCTCTTGAGTTCTGTAGAAATCATTAATGATGCTTTAGATTTATGTAAAAAGGAAAAATTTATATTTGAATTTGGACCTGGTGTTCAAGCGTGCAGTTTTGAGAGGTGAATGTAGGAACCGACTCTGGAGCCAGACTGCCTTGTTTACCTCTTGGCTCAACCGTTGATTACTTGCATGATCTTAAGTAAGTTCTGTGACCTCTCTGAGCCTCATTCCCTCAAATATAGAATGGAAGTGGTAACTGAACTGCCGAAATGGTATAGAGTTGCAGTGAGGATTATGTAAGTTCATTCATATAAAGCTCCTAAAATAGTGCCTTGTATGTGTTATGTACTAGGTAAATGTTATTCATTATTACTAATGTTATTATTTAAAAGAAACTTTAACATAGTATATCCATAGTACACAAAATTTGGAAAATAAAAAACAAATCTTATTATCCTGCATAACTACTCCTGATTATTTCTTTCCAGTCATAACTTCTTATTTAGTTGAAGTAATTAATAAATGTGATTTTTGCATCTTGCCTTTTAAAAAAAAAGTTACCCAGTAATTGACTTGGCTTGCTTTACTATTAGATACGTGATTCACCTTTTGTCTTTATTAAAAAACATCCCCCAATAAACATTTTGAATCTTAATTTTTTTTTCTTTATATGAACTTTTTTACTGGGAATGCTTCTCAAACAGTGGAGACTGTGGTATCATTTGTGATGTGAGACACGTAACTAAGTGGCCACTGTTTTGTGAGGTCACAGTTGACAACCATCTGAAGTGTGAATGTGCCACTGCTGTTGTCGTCACTGCAGACTGCACTGGAGTGTTCCAGTGCACAGCAGCAGTCTTACTACTTAAAGCCTGAGGAGCAGTCAGTGATATCATCCCCCTCTGATGACTGTAGCAAGGCTGGGGGTCCAAGGAAGTGCTGTCTTCTTTGGTGAAACCAAACTCTAAAACTTAAGTGGGCCCCAGAAGGATCCTTCAGGCCCAGGGAGAACAAATGACCTTGTCTTACATCCAGTAGCACAGAAAAAACATGGCTAGAACATCCACAAGAAATCAGTAAGGAAATTCTGCAAACCTCCTATTAGTATTATTAACTTGTTGCCGTATTAGAAATAATTGAATGAGGGGCTGGGGATTTAGCTCAGCGGCAAAGCACCTGCCTGGCAAGTGCAAGGTCGTGAGTTCGGTTCCCGGTACCGGAGAAAAACCAAAAAATTAAAAAATTAAAAAAAAAAAAAAGAAATAATTGAATGAGAAATTTGCTTTTATCTGTTTGTCTAAATTAAGGCTTAGTTTACAGATGAGCTTGTTGTACTCTTTCAGACTCATAATATATAGACTAGCTTTAGACTTCTCTTTCTTCACCCTTACCTGCTGGGTCTCTGCTTTTGCTGCACAAAAATTCTTTCAACATCTCAACCCATACTTGTCTCTGGGCCTTTACATGTGCTCTTTTCATACCTCAAAAAACACCCTAGTCTCTACTTCCTTGATCTCTTATTCATTTTCAGTCATAACTCAGCCACTGCTTACTCCAGAAAGCCTCCCATTATTCCACGATAACGTTGATACCCTACTTATGTTTTGTAATAATATTCTCTACTCATAATTTACTGTCAGTACTGTTTCACTTATGTGTAGCCCCATGTTAGATACGTTCTTCTGAGGGTAAGGATCATGGCTATATGAATCATTATTGTAAACTTAGCATTCAGTAGACACATAAAAATGTATTGAATGAATAAATGCTCATCTATAATGAAGTGACCCAATTTCACATTTGTCCACAAAAAGTTCTGCACAAAGGACATTCAAATCCTGATGAAATTCCTTTCCTTTCATTTGAGAAGATTCTGTCAGTTCAGATTTTGAGAGACCACATTGAAAATGTATGTTCATCCAAAAAGATATTTGATGCTGAGAACTTTTGAGAATTGCTCGCTCTTTAATTGCATTTTCATTTTTTCTTTTCTCAAAAGAGATATAGCAGAGAGTGAGTCTAGTCTTATTATTTTAGGCCATATGACTTTACTACAGCATATTATTTTAATAACTTGTTAAACCTGTAGTACATTTTCATACATTCCAATTTCAGGGATGTTATGTTAGTCCATCACTATTTCAGTCTTAGATAGGAGTTACAGTTTGTCAATACCTTTGTCCCTTTTCTCCATATGCATGAATTTTGAACAGCTGTTTATTGTGCATAAAAAGAGCTAAAAGGGACTACTTTTTATTGGTCCATATTAAAGAAATTACAGCAAAACAATGTTGTCTTTTTTCTCTCCCTCCTTCATCTTTATCAACCTGTTACTCAAACCTAAGGTCTTTAAGTATAGAAGATACTTACTTTGAATTTAACAGGAAGTCACGTTTCTGACAGCATATTACTGTTCCAGAAATATTTCTGTGGAAATAAAAGATATATCATTGGAGGAAAAGGCAATTGGGAAGAAAGAATAAAGAATGGTATATAATTAAGATATTTATCATGGGCCAGTGTCTACTTTTGCCTGTTTCCTCCCTGGTAAAATAAAGGAGAAATGGAAGGATGTTAGAGAAGGGAGTGCTTTTTAACAAGGGGAATGTGTTGAATTGTGTGTGTCCTACTAGCCCTCTGGAGCAACCTGGACATCAAATTTGGTAGCTCGGTAGTGAAAACATGTTTTTTGTTTCAGTGTCTCAATGTTTCTTTGTGAAACAGTAGTTCATTTTCATAGTTCATTGACGAATGGCTTTTAAAATCACAACTAGATTACTGCATCTGAGTTTCTGCCATTTAGGATTGGAATTGTTGTGAAAATTGAGCTGTTAATCTGTTAAGAATTATAATTAAAAACATATGAGGGTAGCCTCATCTGCTTTGAGCTCCAGGATGTAGTTACCTCCCTTGTGTGCAAAGCTATTATTTTAGATAGCTGTGATTTTAAGGTCCTACATTGTAGATCATTCAGAAGACCCAGAAAGAGACTAATATGTTGATTCTCCAAATGATAACTCTTCTTTCTGTGCTGTTGGCCACACTGAGTATGTTCTGTCAATTTGATGACAGTAATAATTTCAGATACATTCCCTGCTGTGTTCCTCTTCTCTGCCATCTGGACTTGGCTAGGTTTGCAACATGGCAACTTGCTTATCAGCCAGGGTACTCAGTACTTCCTGATTTCTGCATCATCCAGTCACACAGTTGTCATGCTTACCATTTCTTGTCTCCTTTTTTGGGCAGTGGGGATTTGGGCACTGTAGGCTTTCTTCCCAAGGCCTTTTGTTGAAAAAGCTCCATGGGAGATTGTGTTTGCTGACCTGGAGAATGTTGATTTTTTTTTTTTTTTATTAGCGCAGGAAAAAGTTAATTTCATTAGTGATAAAGTTTGTTTAAAATGTCTCTAACTTGAAGCAGGTACTGTTGCTATCACACATACTCCTTGGAACAGGATTCTGCTCTGGAAAAAGGAATAAACTTATTGAATTGGTCTTTCCCACTTGATGTTATATCAGCAATACAACATAATTGTCTTGGATATTTTTTTTGTTGCTGGGACAAAATACCTGACACCCAAAATTAAGGAAGGAAAGGTTTATTTTGCTTACAGTTTGTGGAGGTTTTAGTCTGTACTTGGCAGATTACAAGGCAGAGTGGCACATGGCAGAAAGCTAGAGCTCATGGCAGCAGAACACAGCCGAATCGGCAAGCACACACCAGTGAGGAATGGGGGAGGAATGGCCTCAAGCACTGTCTTCCTCTCCCTTACATATGCAAACTATCCACCCCAGGGCGGGTGTAGCTCTCACACCCTTAATCAAACTTTAAAAGCCTGCCCCGTGAATGTATGAGGCTTTGGGGGGGACACACAGACATAAACCATAACATTCCACCTCTGGCCCCCCAAAGACTCATGTCTATCCCTTTATATAAACAGCATTTAGTCCATCTGCAAGAGTTGCCAAAGTCCTAACAGTTGCAGCATTGCTGAAAAGTCCAAGTCCCAAGTCTCCTCCTCAATGTAAGGCAAACTCTTAGCTGTGACCCCCCGTACAAATGAAGAGTTAAACACTTAACATTTAATGGCACAAAATAAGCAGTACCATTTTAAAAGGTATAAACAGGGGGACACAGAGCATTGGGACCAAAGCAAGTCCAAAATCCAGCAGGGCTAATGTTATGTCCTGTAATTTTACATGCGGCATCTGAAGCAACTTGTGGCACATTGTAAGCTCCAAAGGGCTTGCATGAGTCCACCCCTGTGGCATTTTTGGTGGTTACAGCTTTCATGGCTTCTCTCTTAGGCCTGCTTTGCTCTCTCCTTGCAGTTTTCCTCAGATGATCCACGGTCCTGGCTTTTTTAAACTTCTGAGGTCTCTAGGGCACCTTTTGCTTTACACTCACAGCCTCACACACTGCCCTCTCAGGGGCACACTGCCTGGCCTCCCAGGCCTTCGGAAATCTGGGTGGAAGCCTTTTTAACCTCAGAACTCTTGCATTCTCTATGCATTTAAAGCCAGGGCCACGTGATGCCAAGGTCTGCTGCCACCTGGAGCAGTAGCCAAGCTTTCCTCTCTCTTGGCCACAGGGGTCGAGTGTCTGGATCGCTGGGCACTCTGAATCCACTTCTGAGGAACAAATCCTCTATGCTGCCGCCATTCTGGAACGTGGTGCAGCCGCCGCCACCATTCTGGAACATGGTGCTCAGCAGCTTTCTCCTCAAGGCAAGGTGTTTCACCTTTGCAATTTTGAGGCTGCAAAGGGTGGAGACTTGCTGTTTGTGATGCCCTTAAGCCATCTTTTTTATTTTCTTGGGTTTTTTTAGCAATAGAGATCTCCTCAGCCTTATCTTTGCAGTCCACAGCATTACTGGAGCTTTTTTTTGGCCAAACTCACAACATTTTAAATCATCCTGCTGGGCTCTTTGTTTTTGATTCTCAATATAAATCTGGCTAAAAGCCCCCAACAATAGCCATGCCACTGCCCCAACGTTTGACTGCCTTGATATTTTTTTTGCCAGATTAATCAGTCCGCTGCCGCCCTTAATCTCAGTCTTAGGCAAAGTCTCTGGACATGAG